CCCACAGCTGCCCCCCCCCCCAAGGATCTCCTCCTCCCAGTGGAATGACCTGTTTGCTGTCTCTCGCAAGGAGCCTGCCCCAGATGAAGAGGGGAAAGCTCATGGGTGTGGAGCTGCATTTGAGAATTTTAGCACTGTGTGTACAGGGCTCTGTGCACAGAGAGGAGAGCGAGAGAAGAGAGAAGGCGCATTCCAGCCCAGTTCCAGGACCAGCCCACTCTGCAGCTGGGAAAAGCTGGAGCATGCTCACTCTTCAGCAAAATGGGAGCTTCTGCCCACCCCACTGCCGAGACAGACACAGGCACACGAAGCTGGCAGATCAAAACAAGTTACAAAAACACACGCGAGCCATCACCCACCTCTGTGACTTTGCACTTCCTCAGAACAACATTTTAAACAGGTATTATTTTACAGAGCAATTATGTAAAGCAGGGCTTTTAGTCACAGCATATATTGGATTTTTTAATGAAAACCTGCCTTTTTAAAATGTCAAGTAATATCTACTATGTTTGGTAGGAACTCTGCAATTTCAGTGGAAATTGATTTTTGCTCCTGCCTGGCTAGCTGGATTAACTAATACTTTGTTCTCATGAACAAATGAACATTGATTTATGGAAGTAGTACAAACTCTATGAAGCTATTTGGTCTTATGTGCATGGGGGTGGTGTCTGTGCAAACATGCCATCCCCAACCCCATTTTGAGTTGGTAGATGGAGGGGGGGGGGGAGATACTTGACATGTACTGACCGAAAATAATCCAACGGCATGTTATTCTTTAAAACAGAGTAACTGTTAATCTTTCATGCGCCTCAAGCTACCTCTTGGTTTTCGGCCGAAATGGACTTCCTCATCATCATCTCCAGCCACCACTCTGGGATCCTTTCAGCCTTTGCCCTGTCCATCAGTGTTCAATTTTGGGTGCTTCCACATCAGGACCCCAGTGTACCCTCTAAGCTGAGTTAGTGAGAGCTAGCTCACAGTTTTTTAGCCTCCGGCTCACACATTTTTGTCTTAGCTCAGGAAGGATGGCTCCAGAGCAAACTAATTTATGCAGTAGCCAACTTGCTCGCTCAC